AATTGGAGTATTTTAATGCATTACATTTTTAACTCTGTAAGTATGGAACATAAAATTTTCAGTTTTTGTTCAGTTTGAATATGTATAAGTATTTAATGTTTTCGGAGATGGCTTTATGCTGGTTATTTCAGTTAAATCTAGAAACTATATGCGAGAAAAAATAATTCATAACTTTTGTGAAAAAAAATCCTTCTCTAGAATAAATTTATATTTTTCTTTTATATGGACTTTAAGCCGCCCAAACGGTTAGCGTCGCTGCCTTCTGTGCCGAAAGGCGCGGGTTCGAATCCAGGAGAAGAGATGGATGTTTGTAAATGTATAGTGTCGGCGGCACTCTAAATATGCGGCGATCCTCTCGTGTGGTTTGGTGGAAGAGGAGAAGAGTGGGAGACCCTGGGGCCCGTCCTCCTCCGGGATGCTCTTCATCAAAATTGGGAGCGTAAATTAGCTAAATCGCGCTGTCACCTTGTAAGGTGCTCAAGGCTGTTGCCAACGGCAGGCGTAAACTTGCGCTCTTTGCCACAAGGAATTTCGTGGGCTTGGGCTGATGTTACGTCAGACAACTGAGTATAAGTAACAACAACGCACTTTAAAATTTAGAAAAAATGCGCTGACACTAAATAACATTGATATAAAATGTCTCAGCCTATAACCTTAAGGAAAGAATTTCTGTTTTAGGAGAGACCTATCATTCTGTAAAAAATGCTTTGTTTTTCAGTCACTGAATCGAAACGTAGACCCGAGGAGGATGTTTTGTTCTATTAACAGATTTTATGATTTTCTCCTAACCTTACCAGAACGTTCTTGGTCAGTGCTTCATAACAGAAGTTAAAAGATATCAAGAAGTTAATTTAAGCAATAACACTTAAGAAGAAGCTTTCAAAATTCTTTTTAAAATTCAACAAAGAGCTGAATCTAGAGAAGCACATTCTTCATCTTTAGACAGAAGGAAAAGCGTGTAAGGCATTTTCTCACTTCTTATCACAAGTTTTTGCGATATACCTGTGGTCGCACGCTCGACGCGTACTCGGGAGGTTCGGACTTCCAATCCCGGAAAGGGCATTGCGGATTTCTTCAGTTTCTTGATATCGAAAAATTCTAGAAGATTCTAAGAGCTAATTTCGAATACTTTTCACCACAAATCTATAAATTACGGTTTTAAAGGGCTATTCCCTTCTCTATTCAAATGTATCTTAAAAACTTTTTTTTAATTTATAAAATTTTATTTTTAAATTTATAATAAATCAATCTTTGAACTTTTTTTATGGAACGTAAATTTATTCAATCAACTCAAATTATTCGATTTTTAGATCTACATTCACGCACGTTACGCATCAGGAAAAAAGATAATGTCTAAACAATTTAGATTCTTTATGACTCTGCAGTTTGTTTTTTCTTTCACTATGAGGCAGGGGAAAAGAGGATTCTATGCAACTTTACTTACTTTTTTTTCAACTATTTGAAATTTTCTTCTTAAAAATAATAAATAATAAAACTCAGCCAAGACGAAATTCGTAACGCGCAACTTCCTCTCTTGTTCTTAAAAAAAAAATTAAAAAAATTAGATTTTATATTACGCCCAACGGGACCTTTCCTTTAACGTTTTGTGCGCTATCTTTATTTATTAAAAAATATGTTCTTCGAAATTAAACCACAAAATTCATTTCAACAGCAACATCGGAAAATAATTTAAAAAGAGCATATCTTTAGAATTTCCGATACATAGTCTCGCGCGCTGGAGATAAAAATGTTTTTTTCCCCTCAGTGTTGCCGTTGCTCGCTTTGAAACCGTCGAGTTTGTTAATCAAAAACACGTTAAAGTTTTACAAAATATGAAAGAGATAATAAAAAGGGATTCTAAAATTGGGCTTCGAGATACCCATTTTTAGAATTTCTACAGGATTCAAATGTAGAATAAATAGAGGATTAGGATCATAATCCTCCATTTTGGGTGGAGGATTACGTTATTCAAAACTAGATTTCTCTAAGTACCGTTGTTTTATCACAATGCGAGAAACATACATACCTTCATGCAGATTCTTTATTATTTAATTCTTCAAATATAATACAGGGCTCTAATATTTGGTGGCAAAAATGTGGAAAGTGAAATGCCGTGTATAGTGGAACGCCACAAAATGCCAAAACGAAATTAATAGCGCTTCTGAACTAACGGCGTTTGGCCTTAAAAAAGAAAAGTTATTATATTCCAGTTATTTTCAACTGTGTCATTTAATTATCAAGGGGAAGGACAAAACTTCTCATTTTCATATTAAATGAGTGTATTTCTTTATAGTTTCCGTTGAAAACATATCCTGCGTTTTTACTTACAACTCAGTTTTTCATGTGTCTGAAAACATTGAAGATATTTCCTACTCATGAACTAGATTCCATTTTTACGCTGAAAAGGAATCATCAATCTCGGTGATGTGACACGGCAGTTGCCAACTTGAAAGCCTTATTAAGGAATCTGTGTGGCGTAAACACGGAAGAAAAATGTACCGAAAAACGCGAGAGGAGTAAAGCAAGCAGATTAAAAGATGTAATTAATCTTAACGTTAGCAGAAAGCGTTCAAATTGAATAAATGAATATTTTGTTAACAAGCTCATTTCAAACTATGAAAGATGATCGCTTTAATTTCGCTGACCCCAAAGTGCGACTTTGGATATCTATTAGATTTATATATAGCTTTGTTCTAACATGGGTATTTTGACACAAAATCAGGCTTTTTCTGAAATGACATACCAATTTTTTTTTTTTTTTTCTCCGTATTTCGATTCCACCTCCCAAATTGTGTCTAAGCATTAAGTTTTGTAAAATTTGGTCCGACATTTAAGGAGAAATTTAATTTATCTTGGCGCCGACGTACAAGAAAAGTCTCGAAACGTATCTTGAACAAAAATTCAAACTTCGAACATTTAAAATTAATAATCTGACTGTATTTGGCCGAACAATGCATTTCTGGTAATTTTACTACAGATGTTTACAGATGTAATGATGTTTACAGATGTTAATTTGTCTACAGATGTTAATTTTACAGATGTTTACAGATGTTAATTTTACAGATGTTACGATACGATGTTTTCTAGAAGACACCTTGGGAAATTGATGGAATTGTGATTAAGAAATTTTTAAACTACTGATATTTTTTAAATGCTAAATTTTTAATAAATAAATATTAAGGTATAAATAAGTATATAAAAAATCCGAAAGCTTTCAGATGTTATAGTACGCCCAAAGGGATCCTTTTTAAACGTTTTATGTGTTACCTTTATTTATTAAATATCATGTACTTCGCACTTAAAATTCATAAAATTCAATTCAACAGCAATATTGAAAAATAATTTTAAAATGAACATATCATTAGAACTTCCGATATAGAGTCTCGCGAGTTGGAGATAAAAATGATTTTTCTGTTCAACGTCGCCATGGCTCGCTTTGAAATCTTTGAGTTTGTTCATCAAAAATTCGTTAAAGTTTTACAAAATATGAAATCGATCATAAAACAAATTCCAAATTTGGGCTTCCACATGCCCATATTCGCAGTAGGATTACATCATTCAAAATTCCATGGCTCTATGTACCGTTGTTTTATCACAATGCGAGAAACATACATACATTTATGCAGATTTTTCATTATTTAATTTCTTCAAATATAACGCAGGACTCATTTGAAATATTTGGTGGCAACAGTTTGAAAAGTGAAACGGACATAGTGAACCAAGGCAAAATCCCAAAACGAAAAGAATAGTCCTTCAGGTACAAAGCCCCTTTGGACTAATAAAAGTAAAAATAATGCTAAGTAAAAATAAGTATGTAAATAAGTAATTAATTTATAAAAATAAGTATGTAAATAAGTAATTATTTATAAAAATAAGTATATAAAACAAGGTTCCAATTAATTATTGTTCCTCTAATGAGTCAAAATTAATGCTAGAGGCAGGATAAAAATTTTTTGAAGTTACGTAACAAATGCATTAAAAAGTGTTCTTTACGATTTGCTAAATGTAAATAATAAATAGTAAATCCACACATAAGCTGCATTTTAAATGACATTCTATCTACATCTATTTTTAGAAACTCTGATTTATTAAACATAGTTAAAAGACAATAATTTTGCATGCAAACTTTGTTGTAAATGACATTCTGTTCAAATTTGTTCATGTACGCATTTGTTCTTAGCAATACTTTGGTACTTTTCTGGTATTTAAAGATATAGTTGCAAAATATATATTAAAAAAATATATTTTAAACAAAGTAAAAATAATATTAAAGGAGGAGAGTGGAAAACGCAATACAAAATGTAGAATTTATGTATAGATTGTAAAATATATGCATTGTAGGCTTTAACTTGTTCCGCGTCGTGCATGAAACAAGAATTTTTGTTTCATCAGTTAATTGCAAAGATTTAGAAACTTTTTACATTTAGAAACTTTTTACGCTTTCAAACTACGGCTAAAGAGTTTTAGGCAAAGTACAGAGGGAAAAAAAAAAAAAAAAACTTTTTTTAAATGATTTTAAAGAGGGCCTTCCTATTTATTTATTTATTGGGGAAAACTGAAGAAAATTGATAATTTTGAAAAATTTAGTAAAGCTTAATGTTCATATGAGAAATATGTACAAATAACCCCCAAAAAAACTTTTTTTTTATATTATGAATTTAATAAACTCTTTTATGAAACCTAATTTTCTGCAGTCATATTCTTATACGACTTAAATAAAGTATGGGGGGGGGCGGAAGAAAATTGATGATTTTGAAAAATTTAAGTAAAGTTTAATGTTTATATGAGTAATACTGCACAAATAACCCCCGAAAAAATATTGTTTTTATATTACGAATTTAAAAAAAAAGTGCTTTTATGAAACCTAATTTTCTTCAGTCACGTTCTTCTGCGATTTAAATGAGGTATATCGATAAAATAAATATTCTGTTTTATTCCTCCTCGCATGCTACATAAATTTTAACGAAGCCTATTTGGTAATTTTAGAGAAAAGAACTGACCTTGTGTCCTCTGTTGGCCCAGCTTTTGTTCACTTCGATTCGAATGACGTAAACGCAGCACAAACAGACGATCCCTAGGCATAAAAAGCGTCGTTTTCTCACGCGCCACATTAATGCATCCGTTTGCGAAAAATCAAACCACCGGTCTGCTCAGACGATCGCTCACAAGTTTCAGCCGAACGAAGCCTGTTTTTGTTTTTCTTTTTTGCTCGTTGCGGTCGAAAGAGATCGCGCACTCCCTACCCCCCTCGCAATCTCTCAGGAAAAATGCATCACCGCCGGGTGGGTCGGCTCACGGCCCAGCTTCCCTACTTCGCTGTGGTCACCTGTGGGGCTTTTTCGCAAACACTCCCGGCCGCTACCGCCGCCGCTCTGATTTCGCCATAGCGCAGGGGGCATGAACTTTTTCCGTCTCATCAAACGAAGTTCATTATCGGAATTATAACAGAAACGGAGGACGTCGCGAGTTTCAATTAACGTATATTTAACGTATATTTCAGAGCTTCACGCTGTGTTTCCGAAAGAATCATTTGATAACAGTAAACTGTTTTTAAAAGCTTATTAAGATATTTTGAATTAATATGTGTTTCTGTTCTATAAAATATGAATCTGTCTTGACATTTGTCGAGAAAAATGCTTGAAAATTAATAACCTATCAACAAGCGGAAATAGTACACTTATTAACACATTTTAACCCGAAGAGCGTTAGCCCAGAAAGGTTATTAATTTCGTTTTCGCATTTTGCGTCGGTTCGCTATTAAATGGCGTTTCACTTTTCAAATTGTTGCCACCAAATATTACAGACCCGCATTATATTTAAAGAAATTAAATAATGTAGAATCCGCATGAATACATGAATGTTTCTCGTATATGAAAAAAACAACGTTATCTAGAATCATCATCAAATTATTAAATTATATTATTATCATTATCAAAATTATATCATCATCAAATTTTGAGGAACGTAGTCCTCCACTCGAATATGGGCATCAACAGTATAATAAAACAATTTGGAATTTGTTTTATTATACTGTAGGGATTTATATTTATTTTAACTAACAAATTAAAGTTTAATTTAAAACTTCCCTATAAGCCTAGATCTATCATTTGTTAATATCTTCAAATTTTACTTTCGTTACTTGATTTTCAGTTACCGCCCAAGCAGAGGCGAAGTTTGTTAGCGTTGAGTTGACGCATTGTAAACCTTCTCCTGTGGAGTTACTAATATTCCTCTTTTAACGCAGAGCCCACCAGCGGCCGTGCGGTAACGTCGCTGAACACTGGTAGTTCGGTCCGAGGTTCGAATCCCGCGAAACGGGCTGGCTGCATGGGCGTTTTCGTGGTTTTTTCCCATGTGTAACGTGTATACGAGCCAGTTTCCCTTAAAAAGTCCTCCACGAAGGCATCCCTCCCTTAAGGCAGATAGCCCTCGAGTGCTTTGCCATAATCTAATAAACCAAACCAAACCTTTTAACGCAGAAGTATATTAACTGGACTTTACAACCTATTTCATATTTTGTAAAACTTTAACGAATTTTTGATTACCAAATTCAACGATTTCAAAGCGTTCCATGAACATTAACATCGGGTGCATTTTCAAGCACGGATATTTTATGCACGAGGTTTCTTTACATTTCTTACTGGTATTATGTTGGTAGCGTACCTACGCAAAGACGTTAGAGTGTCTAACGGTATTTTGCGTCGCATGGCTAATGTCTGTATCACTTTTCTAATCCCGTGGAAAAAAACGCGCCTTTGGGGGTAAAATAAAATCTCAAAGCTCTCAGGTTTTATTATATATATTTTTTTTAAATAAAATCGTTAAAGGTTTTGTTTAATTTCCATAACTTCCACCTTTAGACAAAGAAAAGAAAATCCCAAATTTTTCGCAATGGTTTCGTTCTAATTTTCGTATGATTTTTTTATCTAGCGGAGTTGCCGTTTGAGCAAAATAAAAAGTATTGCCATTTGACAGAAGTCTTTGCTGCAATCTTCATGGTCAAGCGAAGAATTGCAAAAAATTCACGGCTATGTTTTGAATAAGAATTATTCTTTATTAAATAAATACACAGTTTGAGATAAATACACAGATGAAAGAATATTGTTGCGTTTTTCTTTTCTGACACCAGTTGTTACGTTATTTTCTTCCTTCGCGTTCGTACGGGGTTTGTGTGGATTTGGAGTGAATAACGACGACACTTGAAGTATCGAAACACACTTTATTTACCAATATTAATCAGGACAGCTTCAAAGTCATTTTTTACAGTCGTCAAAGATCTACTATAAACACTCTGAGACAATCAGCGACACAACCTTCACACAGTCAGGCAATAACGGTGGAAACAGCTTCACTGCAAAGCACCCGAGTACAGCTTCCGGCTCTGCTCGGTCGTTCTCGGAACTCCACGTACTCTCGAGACTCTCCACGCTACAACTCGCGATGCACTCGACGATACACAAGGGTATAGCTCTCGACTCAACACAGTCTAAGACAAAACTCGACGATGCACTAATTCGCGATACACTAAAAGACTCTCGATGCACTCGACGATCAACTCAGCGCTAGACTACGAGACATTCGCTCAATGACTGACTATCAGCTCGCTAGACGAGGCACTCTAACTGACTGCGGACCAGCAGGGTTTATATAGCTTTCGGCTTGTGTTCGAGAACATTCTGGGCTAAACCGTAAGAATTCGTTCCAGAAGGTTCTCCATCCGCCATATAGCCAATTTTTATGCCAAATGTCGCCAAACGGGCGATTTCTCGCCAAATGTGGCAACCCTGCATTCCCTTGCTATTTTATGGCAACCCTTAAACTGCTTTGCGAGGAAGCCATCTTACCGCGCTTGGACATTTCGTAACAATATCATAGATAGCTTTTCTTCCCATCCCCCCGGGTGCGGATCGACGTAGAGAACTCTGCTAAGCTGCTGGCTAGGATCTGTACCTAGGCAGTCTCGGCCACGGGGGTATACAAATAACGAACCTAGTGGTTTCTAAATGTCCTGGAAAGATCGCTTATTAGTCGGCCCGTGGATCTGGCAGGTCCTAGAACTCAAAGCTCCAGTGGCCCGCCGTGGGGCCCCGGGTTTTCTGGGTAATGTCCTTCGGCGACGGGCAGCCCGTGTCGCCGGTAGGTAGCAAATTGACGACCAGGGTCACGGAAGTGCGAAAACAGGGGTTGAACCCCTGGGTCTTACCGTCACCACCGGAAAAACAAGGCCTCCCTTCTGCTGCGAGTGACGTCAGTCAGCCAGGGACTAGTAGGCATAACAAACCGTCACCGCTCCTTTCGGTAGTAACGTCAACATGCAAGCATGCTTGTAGTTTTAGCGGGAAATTTCTATATTTCATAAAACATTTAATAATATTTCATTTGTTAATAATCTGTTGAAGGGTGGTTTATACTTGTTGTGTTCCTAACTGCAGAGGAAACTATCCAAACACTGAAAAAGTACAGATGTTTTCTATACCCAAATCGGATTCGTTGCGCAGAAAATGTGCAATTCACCGGCAGAATTTCATCCCATCAAATCATTCTAAGGTACGTACAATCAATTTTTTAAACTTATGATTTATTTCTCGATCAAAAATTAGGCCTTATTGTTGCTTTTTTTTATACTAATTAAACTTCTATATATGATATTGTTATTATAAACTTAATTTGAATTCTATAAAATCTGAAATTAATTATCCTGATACATAAATCAACAAATAATACAGTTCGTCATTAATTCTAAAGCATTTAAATCTGTAATGAAATTTAGTGAGATATTATTTAAAGTACAATATTTAAGTTAAATTAGGTAAGCAAAAACTTTCTAGAATATCAGCTGAATTTCAGTATACATACAATCATTCCAGTACATAATGTGTAGAGTATGTCTTGAAGTACTAGGTAGATGAATTTTAGCTAGTATTTTTCAGGTTCCAAAATTTATTTCTGAATGGAAATCTGTATTTTCATTTTACATTTAAATTATTTGTAAGATTTTTCTTATGAATCTACAATGATACTCAATACTGAACTTTTCATCCTCTTTAGGTTTGTGAAAAACATTTTGTCGAATCAGACATTGAAAGAGCAGTCGAACATTTTGATGAGAAGAAAGGAACTTCAATAAAAATTAATTTGATTCGTCCAAGGCTTCGAAAGGATGCTGTACTTTCACAACTGCCTGGCTGTCCGAAATATTTATCAGATAAATCTTCAACTTCAAGAGAAAGTGCCGATGATAAAAGAGTTTGAATTGATAGAAACAATATACAGATAGCACTTGCTGCAGGCCTAACCAGTAAGGAAATTTACGACAGAAAAAAAAAAAAAAATGTTTTACTCGTTTTCTGAATTTTTATGGTGCATAAAATCTGAGAATGTTCCTGATGCTTGGACAATTATTTTCAAAGACGGTAAAGTTCTTTTTCTTTTATTGATTATTGATACTGAGTCTATTGATATTGAGTATTATTGATACTGAGTCTGTACCGATTATTGAAGCCTTCAGTAGTAGTGGCAGAAAATTTAATGTGTCATGTTTTATCGGTAAATCAGAATTAAAAATAATAGATAACGAAGTGTTTCCTAAAGTAATAAATAATAAAATAGCTTGTTTGAAGTTTTAGACTTTGTATTGAATATTTCTAAACCACAAAATGAAAATTTATTTTCCAATGTTATAAAAACAGCTATTACTCTATTGAAAACTGTTAAGACTGATGATAGTGATAAACAACAAAACTGTTGAATTCATTACAGAACAACTGTCCAATCTTATTTGTAAAAAGGAACGCATACGTTATTCATCACATATGTATGTTTTCTTCGTTATTTTATATTCCATTTCTCCCCATGCATATAAATTTTTTAGAAGTTCATGCAATATCATTATGCCACATCCAAGAACAATTTACAGAATATTTTCTGGATTTAATACTAATCCCATTAAAGAGCAGTCTGATGAAAACTTCTTATCTTTCATAAAACAAAAAGCAGATGGCTTGAATTCAGAAGACCTTATAATTACATTAATGTTGGATGAAATACACATAAAACCATACATAGACTATAAGGGAGGTATGGCATATAACAGTAATAGTGTTGCAAATACAGCATATGTATTCATGATACAAAGTTTAT